GGGGCCAAACAATCTCTTTTTTCAAAAGATACTGTGGGGGGCACTTTTAATGCTAATGAGCTGGTCAGAAATTCTCACTTGAATTAGTGGTCTGCACCCTTTATGCCTAGCAACTGCATGGGCTGAGGGTTTTGAATGAGTAACATGTAGTTCGTGCAAATAGCAAATATTAACCAAATACAACCTGAGCGATACTATGACAATTACTTTATAAAGAAATATCCCTGATCACAATAAACATAATGGTTCATGAAAATTTAACTCTACTGTTCCCTTTTTTCTAACTGAGAAATTAACTTAGCTGCCTGTACAAAACCAACAATACTTTTGTCGCCTTAATTAAAGTTAGTGTAGTCTTGTTCCAAGTCAAAGAGAGGAGAGTCTCCACTCAAGTCGCATTGACTAATTACGTACAGTAGTGGGAAGAGTCAGAGAAAGGGATATGGAAGAAAACCACAACTAGTCATCCATTACAACTGTATGCACAGAAAAGACAACCCAAACTTACGACGGCCAGGATGAGCAAACAGCGAAAGACACAGTGACTCGAAAGCCTGCTCATCCAATCCAAAGCTAAATAAACAATAATCAATAATATACCTGAATACTACAATGAGAAAATATACAAAATAAAAAAGCATAAGTGTAAAATGTACAACAAATTGTGAAAACAACAAAACAAAATTCATGTAGATAGTTTAATCTGCAAATAAATCCATCTTAAGTGTAAGAAAATGGAAATATAAAATTAAATTTGTTCCGTCTTTGGGTCGGCTGTTTGTTTGTTCTTTGTTCTCACTTATTGAAGATCACCAAAGAGGCCTTGTTTTAATTATAACAAATAATTTTGCAAGTTACAAAATGGGCCGATCTATTATGGCGTAAAAACCATGCCCTCAGACACATGAGATCATGGAGGTGGGGGAAAGATTAACCATGACATTTTGTCCAATGTAAAGGTTCATGCGGCAGAAATAAGGATTCAGTTATAAGTATTTATAGTTGCATTGGACAAAAGTAAGTGTTAAATTTAATAAAGACCTTGGAAAGGTGACTTCTTTGAATACTTATTTTCATTCCGCCCGCGCCAAGTTCCTCATCTAAAGAGGCTCTGAAGAGCCAAATCACTGAGCAAGAAAGCAAATCATAAACATGCCCCTTTACCAGCGCCCCTTTACCAGCTGGCCTTAAAATAATACAAGCTGCGGAGAACTGCCAAAGCCCCTTTAATGAGCCTGTTGTTTTTGAAACTGCAACCTTTAGACCAATGACGATGGAACGATTTTCAAAGTGAGGGGGGAGGCACATGAGACAATCTGGCTTCAGCCGTTAATCATAGAGCAATCTATTAAGCCTACCCAATTGAAAGGCCTGCGAAAAGTGGGGGGGGGTCCCCCAGTTGAAACAGTGGGACACTGCACTCCCCCCACATGTGATGAGCCTTCCGCCTGATTTAAAGTCATCTCTGCCCATCACAATTTGAAACCCACTTTGTGAACATTAAATTTTGACTGCCCTACAGTTCACTCAAAGCGTTAATTTTTACATAGAAAGGTATCCAAAGGTCTACATGCACTCCTCCTGGCTCGCTTGCGGGCCTCAAACTTCACCATCCCAATAATTATGTTGGGTTGGCTTGAAAGTATCACATTGATTAAAATGTATAAAGAGGGTGTATAGAAACGAAATGGATATTATTGGCATTTGCAAGTAGGGCGTATAATTATTTGAATCAAAGGAGCGGCCTTTGTAAGGGTTGATGTGTCTTCTTTGAAATATCAACCAATTATGCACTGGGGGACCTGAGGGGCCAATGCCACTGCCTCCCTACGAATTTCCAGTGCCTCCAGCCCCCCCCCCGCCAGAAAAAAAGGTTGCCCCCTTTTCCTTCCCCAACAAAAATGAGTTGAGACAGTGAAACACACCCGTAGGATGCTTTGCTTCGTATTTTCTTTTAGTTAGCCAGTTGCTTAATAGTAACAATCTTTATGTCAGGGGTTACAGAGCGAGGTAAAACAATGTTTACAATCACATAATAAGGGTTGCCCCCTTTTCCTTCCCCAACAAAAATGAGTTGAGACAGTGAAACACACCCGTAGGATGCTTTGCTTCGTATTTTCTTTTAGTTAGCCAGTTGCTTAATAGTAACAATCTTTATGTCAGGGGTTACAGAGCGAGGTAAAACAATGTTTACAATCACATAATAATTTACTCACTAAACTACATAAAGCCCTCCCAAGAGATGCTGATGCCCGGCCCGTTCACCCCCCCCCAAAAAAAAAATCCTAGCTACGCTGCTGTAATTTCTGTCACTTCGTTCACAGCTGACTGAACAGTGACCAAATTTAATTTATTTATTTTTAAATTTTTTTAACAGCGTCTATTTGGGGAATTGTACCACTTCGTTTGGCAGCCTACGGTGGTCTTGACTACTTTCTGAAATTTGCAAGTAAATGAGGGGAACCTTACAGTTTCTTGAGAATGCATGCTGCTTACAAAAGAACATTCGAATATAATGTTGTGTCGAAGTGCTGCAGACAGGGAGACTTTAGCAAGACGTCCCCCTCCAGCTAAGGCAACAAATTGGTTCAATGTTTGCAAGTACCAGCATGAAAGAACCAGCCAAAACTTGTTTTTCATTGATTTATATAATTCGATTTGAAAGGCCCTTTAATGGTTGATTGCATTTTGGATGAGAGTTAACTAGGGTGCCCACTGCCTGTTAAACGAGGGTGTTGAATGCCTAAAGGGAAGTACAGGGGTGAATTATGACAGAGGAGGGGTGGGTGGGTTAGCGTAGCGGTTCTTTCCTTGCTTTGCACCAATGAGGCCCGGGTTCGAGTCCTGGCTTGGCCCCAGGTTTTTTAGTGCATTTGGTTTCCAGTCCATACTCGCTCTCACAGGTTTTCTCCGGGTACTCCAGTTTCCTCCTGCCTCTAAAACTGGACCTTCTTCCTAACTCCGTAATGTGATGCTGATAAATAAAGTGTATGAATAAACGTACAGTTATTGGAGCAAATAGCCTGAGTTGCTGCAAGCGCCATTAAAACACAACAATAAACAGCAGCAGCAGCAGCAGCAGCAGCAACAACAACAACAACGAATTATGACAGCATTCAGAGATAGTGTGGGATTTGATTAAACTCAGTCTAGGAGGCCTGGTACCTGTTAGCCCCACTAGTGTGGCACGGACTCTCACTCCCGATCTATCCTTAGCCACACCTCCGTATGCGCAATTTCGTGTCGGCGTACTCAACATTTTCGGTGCACCCACTTATCATCGTGGGCGCAATTTCTTTTGCACACGAACATGATCCTTGACCTTTCCGTTTTCTAAAAACCATTTATTGAATGATTTCACTCACGTTATTCAAGTATTTTCCAGTCTTTTTACTCTGTTTTCCTTCCTCCATGGCTGGAGTTACTTCTTAAACAATTGCCTGTTCATGGAATGAAACATGTATACTCGCTTTTGCCCTTTGACATTCGAGTGTGTGTTTGTTATACGGAAAAAGGAAAGACGTCTAGGATATTCTGTCTTGGAAAGATGTCTTTCCATGTTAAGTTATCACAGAAAGGCGACTTTCAACTTGAGATTAACATCTCTGAAAGACGTCATGTCAGGATAGGAAATCACGGAAAAACGCCTTTCTTTGACATCATATCTAGGAAAGACGTCTTTCCATGATATCATATCTTAGGATGACGTCTTTCCCGTTATATTGTATCTCGGAAAGACGCATTTCCGTGATATTTTATCTTGGAAAGTTGTCTTCCTGTGATATTTTATTTTGGAAAGCCGTTTTTCCATGATGTTATATCTTGGCAAGCCGTCTTTCCGTGATATTATATCTTGATAAGACGTCTTTCCATATCACACTATCAGAGAAACACGTCCGAAATTTCAGGGTATTCCGTCTTTCCACGATAATTATCTCGGAAACGCGGTATTGTGGATGGCCACTTTAAACTTCCGTAGTAGGCCTTGCCGCAAAGTGAAAAAATTTCTGCCTCCCTTTACTCCATGGAGTTTGTTATTGACGTAAACCCGAATCGCGGTGCTGCCTCTGCAGGTCTCTTAAACCGGTCTAAACACTAACGTTACGTATGTCGTCTGTTGATTTGTGGGATTTGGAACAATTTTGAGGAACACAGGTGACATATTCCCAAATGTATTTGTTAAAAAACTTTCAATTTGTTCAGTTAAATATTGATGCTGGGCCTGTTACCTTTACAATACATGATGGTTGAACTGACGCAGTGTTACTGTCACTAGTGACAATGTAGGCCTCGATCATGCATGTCATGATTGCAACGTTAACGGTGGTTTCCGGAAACCCTGTGCACAAACATGACAATCCTGTCATCAATGCCTGTGCTGTAGACTTGTCTGAGAAAACCTGTTTTCTAAGTAAATGCTTCATAATTTTTTTAGCTAAATTTCACTGTTTGTAACATGTTATCACTTTTTTTGGAAAGAATGTTGCATCCTGATTCCACTTCAGCCAGTCAGCAGTTGTGTTCAAAGTCTATGGGGAGTGAAGAGAAATTTTAAAGTATTTCCCAACAACATTGGTAAATGTTTACAGTAAGATAAACACTTCTCTATATACATGTACATGCATGTAAATGTACAAAATACATGGACGAATAGCCCTGGAAAACTTTGTATTTAGCGTAAATTAATATACTGCACCAGGTACCGATCACTTTGTGTAAACATTTTAGAAAAATAGTGCAGAATTCCAGGCTATTGGGATGTAGCCTTTTTTTTTAACCAACAGTTTGGCAAACTGTCAGATCTCTTAATATACACATGACATGCCTACATGTATATGTATACTTCACACACTTCCACTTTATAGACATACCGCAGTCCCTGAGAATGTTTGCAGGCTGTCAAAATAGCGTTGGTCTGGAGACTAAGACTTGCTAATTCATATCTGAGAGCATGATAATACATGTAGTCCACACCCAACACGAAGTATGTCTGGTATCACATCAGAACAGCAATATGTGCACATGAGCATAGCCATACACTGACTACCATGTGTGCTTAGTACTCCAATGACCTTGCCTTTGAAATAAAAAACTAGCGCATAGTATGGGCAAATTTTTCCTTTTTTTTTAAGTGTTTGTACATGATTGATTGGCGTAGAAATTGTTTTTGATGGCATTATTAGCAGGAAACAAATTCATATACATGTATTGAACTAACCATCAGTTTGGCTTCCTACCCATTGTTTGATGGTTGCAGTATTGAATCATGATTGAATCAAGAATCAATTTTACGTGGATTTCATCTTTCCATGAAATTTGCTAATTTTTTTACAGATAAGGATGACTTTCTGGGAGGATGATTCGGTACCTGCTGAACCCATGGCTTTCCTCCACCTGCTCAAAAACTTGGATGATGGGTTAGGGTCTGAAGATTGTCACAAGCTCAGCTTCATAATAACAGATCTTGGCATTCCAAAGGCCAAACTGGAATTAGTAAAACAAGCTACTGACATTTTTGATGAGCTTGAAAAGCGAGCATTGATTGCAGCCGATGATGTCCATCTTTTGTGGGAACTGATGGACTTGATCCATCGGAAGGACCTTCTAAAAATTATTGATTCTTATTGCAAAAGGCACTTTGTCAAGCAGTTGCACAGAGACCACACCATCAGCAAGTACAGGTGAGGATTCAAGCCAGTAGCAAAGTGTGGACATCAGTTGTTCACTTCTGTTTCATGTCTTTCTTTTATTTTTTTTTATTTAGAGACTTTCAACATTTATGGAGTGCATAGGTTTATAGTCATAAATTTCTGCTTACAGTCCAGTAGTTGGTGCACATGCAATGTACAGTTGACTCCTGTTAATACAAGGGCCTTGGAACTTAAGTACATGTATCTTGTATTATGCAAAACCTTGTCTTAAGTGAAAGATATTTTTCCACTTGTGTTTGTCGATCGTACTATCGTTGAAGGGTAATGAATTTGCTTTCAAAACAGTTCAAAAATGTTCTTTATGAAAGTGGAATGTACGAGGAGGTCGAGTAAGGAATTGTTAAACATGTATTACAATCTAGAAGAATGAAACGAAAAATTTATAAAATGCAACAACATGGCAAGTGGACTCATCACCAATCATTGTCGGAGCAATGTAACCTGCACTGCTTGGTCGTTGTTGCAACAGAACCTGCGCATAAGTGCATTAACAATTTAGTCGGTGACTGACTACAAAGAGGCAATTTTATACGTGTACAAAGTGAAGGAAACAAGTGATTTTTGGGGGTGGACAATAGAGGGCGTAGGTTAGGGCCTGGGTAATATGTGACCCACTCTGTGAAAATGAGTCTTAAGTCGCCAGAGCCACTTTTGAGTAAAAAGTCCTTCAGAATAATTGTGCACAGTGTAAATCAATAGGAAACCACAGCATTTTTCACCATGGAGTATCCACTTTCATAAGGATACCAAACTGAGTGATACATCAAAACAAAAACTCAATTTGCTCTTTCCAATACAATTGAAAACCAAAAAAGTGGCTCTGGTGACTTAAGACTCATTTTCACAGAGTGGGTCTCATATCTGTAGCGGGAAGTGATTTTTTTTTTAATTTTTGGGATTTAGAATTCCTAAAGTTGAATTCCTAAAGGAAATTTTAAACAGAAGAATGGGTTCGTTGATTGACGAGTTTTCAAAGTGCTTGTGTTAAGTAGATAATACATCTGCACTTGACCGGACTGGAAAAAGCACTCGTCTCAACCCAAATCTGGTATCACCCAGGCTTGTATTGAAGATTTTTTTCTTATAGGAACATGTACACACTTTGGTCGGTACTGGCAAAATATACTCGTCTTAACCAGAATCTTTTCTTACCTGAGCTCGTATTACCAACAGTCAACTGTACATCCTCTTGTGGGGAACAGAAAGCTAAGGGAGGAGAAGCTTCTCTGGTGGAGGGCTTGCCTAGTTCTTTTCAGGGTTTCTGATAACAATTGATCTTCATCTACACATATAGCTCTCAGCTTTCTTCTGCAGCTCAAAATACGGTTGCCTGTGCACCAGCCTCACCCTGGTTAACCATCTCAGCGGGTGGGCAGGGAAGCTGATGGGATTTAAACCCTTCTTACGTTACATGTACATGGGCTTGTCTGTCCCAGTGTACACATATTGGAAAACTGGGTAGATGAGAGCAAGAGAGTGGTAATTAAGGCAGTTCTGGCAAGTGTTATGGAGAGTAAAGAGCATGGCAAGACATGAAAGACATGTTGACATCGCTGATGTTGCACAAATTTCCCTTACTTAAATCCAACTCGACTGCAAGTCATCTCCTTTGCATATGCAAAGTAGTAGAGTAGTATTCTTGGGTTTTCCTTTCATGTCTATAACTGTAACTGATTCTAATTGACTTTTGGTGCCATGGTCAACAGAAACAAAACTGGGGGCTGAGAACATGTATGAAACACCTGTTCTGACAGATACAGTTGTAACATCTTTAAATTGTACATTTGATGCTATTTGTTGTGAATTTTGGTATGATAGTTATATTTTATGTGGTGTTAAGAGCTATTGGTACATTCTCGAGAGTTCATGTGTGTAGCACAGATGCACACATACATTCTTTGGTGTTATGTGAGTGTGACAGCGAATTTATCTTCAAGTGCACTTAATGTGCAGTAAAGATCAAACATACTTGACACTGTAAACCCCCCTCACACACACCCCCCACAGAGAAAAAGGGTGTGAGATGGACTCTGAAATACAGTAAAATATCACACTGTTCATTGTTGTGGATGGAACATCGAGAATTGAGGATTTACAAAATGTAACTGTGCTTGAAGGTAAATACTGGTACTTAAAGATACTTGGTACATATACAGATGTAAGATATTATCATGAAACTCTGTGATTCGCTGGGGTGAGGATAGTTAAATACATGCTTACAAGTGAAATGACTCGCATCACTTCAGTCTCTTAAATTCCAAGTTTACTGATATACCACCTACATGAGTTAATGACTTGTAAATTACCATGTAATATTCAAATGCTGCATTTACAATTAAAATGATGCAGTGTTTATTTTTTTTCAGGCTGTTACTTCTTGAGGTAGCAGATAGCACATCTACTGCAGAGCTGGAATGCTTTAAGCAAGGATGCAAAGATCTCCTGGGAAGGCAGGCAGTCAGCAAAATTAAGAATGTCTATCAGTTGTTCTCACTTCTAGAGGAGCGTGAGACTCTATCACCTTCCCGTTTGGCATTTCTGTTTCAGCTTTTAAGTCTGGCTGGAAACCATAAGATGATGCACAAAATTCAACACTTTGGTGAGTTTACACACACGCTCATTTTGTGAGTGTTGATAAAGTTCAAGCGCAGCATAAAGTATGCAGTGCAGCGACCATACTTTTTTTAGCTGCTTTGGTAAACTGCTGAAACAGCTATTACTTTCCTTACGTTTTTTCTTTCTTTTTTTAGCTGTTTCCTCTCAGACGTGAGGTCAAAATACAAACGCTTTTGAAAGCGTTCAATGCTTTGTAAATGCTAAGCCCCACCGACAGTCAACATCGAACAGACGAACGCTTTAGTGAGGCTAACCAAACCGTTTGCGGTCGAGTACACCGTTCACTCTGCAGCTTGTAGTAAACAATGGACAACTTATCGCATTACCGCATCATGGGCTGCTGCGGTCTGGTGGGTGAGGCATGACAAGAGCTCTCTGCAGCTCCACAGGAGGATTTAGATCGGCAGACTTTAAACTTTGCGGCTGCACCTGCATGATTTTAAGGATACATGCTTTTTCTTCAAGTCAATCATGCATGCACGTTGCGTTTTGTTTTGTAAGGTTCTTTTGTCCTCTTTTTATACTTTGTGGCTGCACAAAATGCATGTTGGAAAACGAACATGTCAGGTTTTATACTAATTTTTGGTGTTCGACTTTACCTATTAAACTTAATTCACAGTAAACAAAAAACATGGACATAATTTAATCTGGTGCTGCAGGCGAACCGCGGAACTGAACCAGAAATCATCAAACAAGGCACTTTTGAACCGAACCAAACCAAACTGCTCAGTTCGGATGTTCGGCTTTAATATGGCTTTTCATTGAGGCACGTGGGAATACATAAAAGAAAACTTAATAAAAACAAACAATGAAAAATGGGTCGTATGGTGTGCTCCACATGTGTGTGAACATACAACTTACAATGGGCCGGTATCATGAGATGTTTGTAAAAAGCACTGTGTGAGAATCACTCAAAAATCAACCAAGAATATGCAATGTACAGCATTGTCGCTGCATAACCATTCTAAATTCTCACTACATCCAATTTTGCTCATGTATATTCAGATTTAGTATTGTTATATTTGCCAATCTCCGATAGCTGTGCCCTCATGTTCCATTTTAGGCTAATGGCATTCCATATTAGGCCAATGATGTCATAAATGGCCATTCGAAATGAATTTTGATTGGATGCTGATCACAGTCGGATTCGTGCTAGATCGAAGGCATCTCCGGAGGGAAATTTTGCCAAGTTGTTCTGTGCATGCAGCGCTTCGGCGCAGCACACATGAGGAGTTTTGTTCGCTTGGTGGCCTAACTTGCCTTTCATTTGATCATGAAGGGTTTGATCGTAGTGGGAATATGTTGTAATGGAATTTCGCCAGATCCCAAATAACAAAATGCTGTTATCCCTCCGAAAGAGGCTGGTGGAAAATCCCTCCTTTGGTCACATGGGTGCCATCCTTCGAAGGTTCCTCCTCATGCAGATATGCAATGAAAGCGATATTTTCATAGTTGAGTCTATTTCGCAAAAATAACCAAAACACAATTTTCTCAAAATCTAATTTGATCTTTATTGTATTCTTTACTGAAGGAGGAAAGTCCTAATTGAGCATGCTGTGTTTTTTGTATTTGCACATATCTTACGATCGTTTTGTTGAGTCAAGCGTGGTCCGAACACAATTGCTTCTGGCTGGCAAAATACGGTCAGAAACTGCCACATCTCCGGCAGTAACTTTATATGGAATTAACTTGTAAACAAACTCTGGGAAAGCAGTTTTGAACAATATATTCAAATCGAAGTTGCTCGTGCATGGGGATAGATAGGAGATTCTTTACATATTTTATACACAGAAATACTATATAGGCCTGTGCGGCACATTCGGAGTGAGCGCTTCGATGTCTTAGTGTGTTGTACATGTACATATGCATATGTCTGAATTCCAACCGAACCAAAGTTCTGCAAAAGATTTCCAAACCGTGTCAGAACCGAACTTCGACACCTACTTGCAGCTTTATTTGATACAGAGTTTGACTTTTTTATTACCTTCAAAGAATATTGGTACACCTGACTGAAGTTCAACATGAATTTATATTGTGTCCATGTGGATACTTCTCTTCAGAGACGATAGATCAGGCATTAAAATAGATGACCGTGTTTAGCAATTCCTGTCACTCCCAGATAAACTTCTTTATTTCCCACGCTAAAAAACGCTTAATTAAAGATGAACATAAGTCTTGTGGCGATGTCTTTTTGTCATGAATTACCCACTCAAAACATTTCTGTGGCTAGAACAATGTCAGTAGCCTAGAATGCAGTTGATTTTGCATCTCTGTCACCAGGTGTTAACCACTAATCCTTACGGCCAGCCAAGGAGGGCTGACTCATATGCAGTAAGGTATGAGACGGAGAGAACCCACCTGCTTTGTGTTGGTTATTGTCTCGCAGGAATCTGGGGAATTCCTTTCAGACATCTTGGGGGGATGTGTTAAGTAACAATAGTCTGGAATGTGTATAGGGATTGGACATGTTGGGGGGGGGCACCCCTCGGTCTCATTTCTTGCTGGGCACGGTATAGGCTGACAGGGGCCCACTGGAGTTCTCCTAGAATAGGATCTTTTGTTCACAACTAGGGCTGTGTGAGCCACAAACTCCATTGTTGTCAAGGTTTCCCATCCAGCTAGACAGTCCAGGGCAGACGGTTCTTTTCAAACCGTTGAGCTGTCCCCAAAGCAAGCGACGAACGGAACGAAGGGGGATTAACACCAAACGTTAAACTGTTTCTAAACCGTCTGTATTTTGACCTTACGCCTAATTACCGTCCTTATCATTTTTCTTCTTTTTTGGGGTTACTTTTTCGCAATTTGCAAAAAAGGCTTTCTTTTTCTTATGAATTGTTTTCTACCTGTTTTGTTCGTCTTACCTAAATCATATTGGTGAGTCAGGTAAGTGTAGTGGTTCTTTCCTCGCCTTCCACCTCTGCAGTCCGGGTTAGAATTCTGTCCCGGTCCACATGTGGATTGGGTTTTCAGTCGAATATTCTCAATTTCCAGGTAAAACAAAACCTTTCATAAATTTAACAATCAATACCCAAAGCGTGTCACTATATCACTTGTAAATTAACAAAGTGAAACCAGTACGTCATTCAACAAATGGCACATTTTAAGACGTGCGACAATGCAAACAGGTGCACAAATATCGAGAATTGAGTACTGCATATTTTCTATGGAAATCATCAACTCAGTGAAATTATCAAAATTATTAGGAACTTAATACAATAATAAATGAAGGTTTATGGGAGATTAAGATGCTTTGTCACAGTTGCGGCAGATTCCATCAACACTCGTCGTCCGAGTCACAGGAGCAAACACAGTCACAGGACAGGACGATGCTGCAGAGAGCCATCAGGCTCCAGGAAGGACAGCAGGTTGTGGAACAGGCTACACTCAGAATGTGGAACAGTAACTGCGGAACTACTCTCAGGCCTCAAAAGCAGGGTCCCAAGGAAATTAGTGCTTCGTAGACCATATACATCATCATACAAAGACCATCTAGAATGGAAAATAATCAAACTACTCCATACCAGAAAGCAGATACAGCTTCCAAAATCACTATCTTCTAGTGTTGGAAAAAATTAATAAAGTTCCACATAATTTCAACCAAGCAATTCAATGTAAAGAAATCACAGAGTGTAACTTATGGCTGCTGTTGTTACGCTGACCTATGCTTGCCCGAGCCACGCCCAAGACTTCACAGAGCCAAAATCATCTGTGCCGATAGCCAAGGGATGGCACAAGCTAACCAAAATGGCCATGTCAGCATGAACTCAAAACACCATGTTCCTTCTACCGCAACATGTAGCAAATTCCACCCATGCCCAATTCCATCCAACCTTATATACACACATCTACTTTCAATAAATACTAAGGATGCACTGATGCATGCCCATGCATTCCACAACTAGACCAGAGGGTAAACATAAGACAAAATTGGGGTTAAACTAGGATTTCTGTGACCAACAGCAACCATGGTCCTACAAGAGAAGAAACCCAATAAAAAGAAAATATTTAGTCCATAAAATTCAGCTGTGACACAGTCCCTACCTGATTCCATGGGTTGTACCCAGAATATTCCTCTGGGATTTTCCTCCCACCTCTAAAACTCTATTAAACTGCTTCCCATCATATCCTCTGTACAGGTTTCTTTAGACTTACGAGCTACAGTGCCTTGGGTGCTTTTGAGGAATCCTTGGTGTCATTACCAGAAATGATTAATAATAATAACGAAATGAACGTTGTGTTTGTTGGTAGACAAGCGCTGAGCTGTTTCTGATAAATTAGGGCAGGAATCGAACAGCTGTCATGAATATGTAAGTGTGCTGTTTAAAATGTAAGACACACAGTATAAGCAGGGCCCGATATGCGTGGTTGCATGGAAACTTGGCAGATTCCCTGAAACAGGCTGGCTGAATTTGTACTCGATACACGTACAGAGAATATGGCCCTTACCGTTGCGGTTCTTACCCCTACAGGTGGTGTTGCCAGCATTACCAGCAGAAGGCAAATTTTTTTCATTAGCAGAGGAAAGTGTGTTTAAACAATGAAAGGAGCCCTACACCTTGCACAGTGGATGCAGATCTTTACTCTAGTTTTTGATTGGAAACAATAATTGATGATAGATATGAACCTACTTCCAACAGTGCTAGTTTCTGACCCAGTAGTTTTCCTCAAAACATCTAACGGTGACATCATGCAACCATCCAGTTCCCTCTATTGAAAGGTAAAAAAAATTCAATAATCTAATTTGAGCAGATGTCTGGGGTGAAGTTTGCCGGAATTCCTTGACAATTGTAATGTTTGTGCAAAAATTTAGATTGATGACGTCATCAGACCAGAAGTGATAATAAAAAGTCCTTTTAAAAATCACAAAAAAATCAATTCTGACAGCTACAGTCTGAAATTGCTCATCACAAAATAGAGCAATTATCTGCATCTATTGTCCAAGACGTTGAGCTTGTTATGTTTTTCATGCTTACCATGCGCCCATAGTGAAAAAATTGCCTTATGCTGCTGATGGTTGCAACACAATCCGTAGGTGTAAGACCTGAAGCAGTAAAAGCCATATGCTTTGTACATGTAAAGTGTGTAATTTGGAACCTTGCTATATTGGGGGAATCTGGCAAAATGCGCAACACGTGGCAGGGAAATCGTGTGAGCGTGTATTGTCATTGTCTTCTGACACAAGGGTAGTGGTGCCACAGACCTGAATTTGATTTTGGCCTGTTCCGTGCTGGTAAATGCATCATATTTTCTGAACGTGTACGTTTTACTAATGTCGCAGACTCCAGCACTTTTATCCATGACTGACCTTGTATGACTTTATATTCGGCACATATGTATATAGTCCATCAGGCCAAGATGGTGTCAGAAAAGCATAGTCATCAGGAGTCTCTTGAAATGAGATTAAAGTACAAACCTCAATTCTCCTTATCTTCTGAAGTACATGTCCAATCGGGTTGAAACTTTGCAGATGTCTTGAAAGGGAAGGGATGTAGGATAGACTGACATCATGAGATCATGACTATTGGGTTCGAACCATGCAGATATCTTGAAAGGAAGTGTTATAGAGGAAAATTGATCTCACTTAATCATGATGTCATCAGATAACAAGTCATGTAAAATGAAAGGTGGACCCTTAAATGACTCGACATGTATCTCTTGAAGAACATGCTCGATTGGGTTCAAAGATCAAACCATGCCGATATCTGGAAAGGGAAGTCTCATAGAGGAAAATTGACCACATGTAGTGATGATGTCATCAGATAGCAAGTCACTTGACATTAAAGCGCACATCTCCTGAAGTACATATCTGATTGGGTTGAATCTTTCTCAATAGCTGCAAAGGGAAGTGTTATAGATGCAAATTGACATCATGTAGTAATTATGTCATCAATTGACAAGTTATGTGACATTAAAGTTGCATCCTTTAAAGCTCTATTTCTCCCTTAGTACCTGGTACATGTTTGATTTGGTTTAAATTGTGTTATATAGAAGGTAGATGGCATTGTTTGATGTTGACACCATCAGTTACAAGTCATGTAACATGTCAAGATGACAGGGATTGTAATGTTTTAGCAGATCCATTTCAATTCCAGGAATTAAGTTGCTGAAAAACACACAAATGATGCGTTGAAAAGCTTCCAAATCTGAAGCACCTCTGTCTGTCTGTGGATGTTAATTGTAATAACAAACATCTTCTAGTTCTCTTTTAAGTCCTTCAAAAATTCATCACAATTATTGCTACATACGAAAAAGTTGCTGGGACCAGACAAATTACTTTGTTATAACCAGGACATTGTTAAAACGTATAGAAAAACCGAAAAAAAACACACAAAAAATTCAAGAAATTGGGATTTGCAGATATTACCATTTTGTTATAATAGTGTTCTTTATATCGAGAGTTGACTGTACACTGTGAAACTGTAATAGAACTGGCTATGGATTGATATTCACACGAAGTATTGGGGAGCCAATATAAAACAAATAACTCCGCTGTCTGTTCTTGACAGAGAATCAAGGCAGCCTTCCTGATGATGAACTTGTTCAACTGAGTTCACATTTGGCATCTGAATGGCGAAAGCTTGGGTCATTTCTTGGGCTTGGTCACCACACACTACAAGCCATAGATCTAGACCAACATTCCACAGAGGGCAAAGCCGCAGAAGTACTCTTCAAGTGGCGGCATACTTTGTCCAACAAAGAGGATGCATATGGAATTCTGTCAAAGGCACTCAAGATGTGCGACCGCTTGGATCTTGCAGAAGTAGTAAATAGTAAGTGTCAATTTATGACCTTCACTCTTTCATTTTCAGTATTTGCTGTGCTGGCTTTTAATCAGTCATGATTTAGTGACAAAAGTGTTTCATATGTATTGACATACATGTACATGTACTGGTAGTCACATTTATTTTTATAATGTATTTATAACTGGGTATTCCCACAAAAGAAAGGGAAACTCCCAAAGACAAAGCATGGCCATAAGAGATTGAAAGAGTACAAGCCCTCAAAGCCTACGATGCACTTGATGTTTATTGATGATATTGCTTTTTGACAATTATGAAACTCTGATTCATCATAACTATAAGGCCTGAATTTGAGTAAAGCTGAGCAAGGTCTTTTTGGTGCATAAATAATAACTCAAAGAAATACGTCTTATAAATGTATTTTTACCCTAAATAAACGTTTCTGAAAAAATCTTGTTAAAACAAACTGGAAAAATACATGTATATGTCTTAGTCTAGTAATAGTGAAAGTTTATAAAAATTGAATTTGTAAAAATGGACTTGAAAAAAATACACCATACAAGTGAACTATACACTTTCTGTTTCGAAATGCATTCTTCATGGCACTATTTTAGACATAAGTACAGTACATGTATGGTAGCTTCGGTAAACGGTAAATGTTCTGCTACAAACACTTGTCTCTTAGTTAATAGTTGAACCATCCCATAAACATGAATTTTCAGTCTGTCCTCTCTCAATCCACTGGACTTTCACTCAACCACTTGCTGCCTGATGGTTTGAAAAATGCAGTGCACATAATCAGGACTTTTTCAAGATTTTCAGTTCTCAAAATTCTTCAGAAATTCATCATTTCAATAAATGGACGCTTACACCCACATGAATTACTGTCTGGTGGCCACTCTAGTCTGACAGACAAAATCTATTGACGCCCGAGTATTTCAGCCAGGCCTGCAGCCTTGTGAAAAGAGCCCAGATTGTGTGCGGTGTTATGTAACATTCTTTTGTTCATGAATCTGGTACAGTGCGCTGCTGACCTCTTTTCAATAGGGGCCAGATCAGCATGCAGCAGTGCTGTGTGGCTCAACGCTGTGGTGGTGGAACGCTTTTGTCCCCAGTGGTAATCTGCTTGCACTAAATGCCCCAAACCATGGTATACTGTTTCAAAACTAGGCTGGATTATCTCCACTATTGAGATGCCTAGCAGCCAGGTCTTTTGTTCCGAGTCTGGTCTTTTGTTACAAGGCCTAGTTCCCTTTGTTCAATTTTGGAGACCCTGGCCACACGTATAAACACACGGTGCCCGAAACCAGATTTCCCAGTGGCAAGTGGTTAACCCTTTGATGAGAGGAATTTCTTTCTGAAAGCCAACTCCAAGAATTCCAGTCTTGCTTGGTCACGAAGGCTGCCGGCCAAACCGCAAATTCTCGGTTTGTGGCCCTGCGTGCTCTGCACGCTTTGAATTACACGGTGAAAAGGCTGATTGTTCGGTGGTACGCGGCTCTACTCATGCTTCCACATTCCCGTTGCCTCTTTTGAAAGTGGGGACTATTGTGAAGCTGGTGATTGTGATGCAAATTCGGTCTTTCCATTTCTGGGCTACACACAAAGGCCAATTACCATATATACAAGAGCCAGGGTCTGCCTTCTTTCACCGTGTTTGCTCGAGCGTGGGCCGAGAATAATAGCAAAAAGCGGGCTGAGGATCTAGATTTTTATGGCGTGTCTTGCTGCGTCCCGGCGCGGAGGGGTTAATGAAACACTGAATAAAAAATACTGAGTAACAAAATCACTTTATTGACAATAGTATCTAACTGCATGATGCTCAGTCCAAGCTAACACTTGGTACAGTAACTTATTCCACAAGCTGTCCCAAGACATTTTTATTTGCCATTTTTAAGACTGAATTGAAGAACTGTAGTGATCATAACCAGAGAAATGCATTCACATTTACCAGTGTCCGTAGAATGCTTGGAACCTATTGTTTATCATAAATGAAAAACAGCAATTGTCAAATTTGCATCTTTCATTGCTATAGTTCATGAGTCTCCTTTTGGGCATATACCTTGTATAGGAGTGCTAGTTTCCCTTTGATCTTGTAGTATACAGAGGAGCTGATATAAAAATTGTCATAATTGTAGTTACAAGTTTAATGATAGTGTGCACTTGTTTGCAAATTTGCGTACCTGCCAAACATTCTGATTTTATCAGAACTGCCTAGATTTCCAAGTTTTCAGACTGCTGAAAATGGGAAAGTAGGGCCTACCAATTTCCATGAAAAGGGGGATAGAAAACTCGGGAAACAAAGGTGCTAGGCCTATTTGCAGAAGAAAAGAGGGAAGAGAAAAGAGGGTACTATTGGCTGTGTCAAAATGGAAGTTTTTTAACACATACACTGTACATGTACATACATGTGCATGGATGTTTGTAGATACATGTAGCTTCTCTTGTGCGGCTGCTTATTTTGCTATAGGTTCCTACATGTGCAGATTTTTTACTTTTCAATGTTGGCAGGTATGTAATTATACCAGTAATTTTCATGATTTTACTTCTTCCTAGCAACATTTTTCATCTAATCGATCAAGTATACATAAATGGGATTTTTAATTGTGTATTCTCTAAACATAATAGTACCTGGTACCATACTTGTAGACAAACAGTAACAAGAAAAGGGCATATTATTATTTTAGCTGCCAGAATTAAGGGCCGGCGACCATTTAGACCTGGTTTGAAAAGGGCCCTCCCGGTAAGCTTGCCCTGTTGCAAAAACCCCTTTCATACCGGCCTGGCTACCAGCCTGGGATGCTAGACTGGTTATTGATCTCGAACTTCTCCATCCTGGGGTGTATTGTTTGCAAGGACTGGCACATGTAATCTATCCCAGAAGGAACCTGCTTGTGGTTTTTAATCCTTCAGCACTATACAATGTTTGCACTAATCCGCTTAGACCCCTATTCATCTGTGGAAGCAGGGGGGGGAAGCCTTCCATCAGGGACTTTGAAATGCAGATGTGCAGACAGGCCTGATACCGGCCTGGAGTAGCCTGAATACTGGGAAGGCATTATACATTTTCAAACTGGGTCTAAATGGTCGCCGGCCCTAAAGAGATTTTTAATGCTGAGTCAGATATCTTGCCTTCCATTTATGGAATGACCCTTATTTTCTTTTCTCTGGGTGGTTAGCTGAAAGTTCAGTCTGTATATTTATGAGCTGGGTTAGTTTCTCCTGTAGTTAAAAGGAAAGATTCACCTGAGGTTGTTAATCTCCAGGTTCTACCGGTATCTTCATTTCACTGTTTGTCTAGATATGGCACGAGAGCATCAGCAATCTGCACTTTCTCCTGGCAAGGTGGTATACCAAGATATGGGAGGTCATGGCCCAACACCACACCTTATGAAACCCAGTGACTTCTGCAAAACTAGTGCACCATCTTTACCTATCCAAGCTACCAGGCCAGTCAGCTTTACACATATATCTGGTATGATGCTGTACTGTAAATGTGTACATGTACAGTGCAGCGTACATGTAAGAGGGGGGTACCTGTATATTCCACTAGGGAAGAATTCAGTTTCTTCTTGTTAAGCACACACCTTGTGTCTGACTTGGGTTGATTATATACTGCAAACAAGGCAAATATATGGTCATGCTATGTACGCACACTTAAGATCTCACCAGCAGTGGTGGGTTTTTTACGCTGGTAGAATACTCCCACTTACTATCTGCTTACATAAAAGTTTAGGTTTATCTGACCAGAGGCAGATTTTGATAGGTGATAACATTAACCACGACCTGCCGGGTGGATTTCTCTTGAGCGGGATGTGATGGCGGGACCTTTTTAAGATTTTCTGTTTTCAAAATTCGTCAGAAATTTATCTGTTCATTTACTGGACATTTATACCCACACAAACGACTCTCTGGTGGCTATTCTAATCTGTCAGGCAACCTTTATTGATGCCCGAGTATTCAACCTAGGCCTGCAGCCCTGTAAAAGGGAGCCCAGAATTGTGTGGTGTTGCATAATTTCCTTTGTTCCGGTGAATGCCAGTAGCATCTTTTCATACGCGGCTGGATTAGTGAGCAGTGATGCTGTGTCGCTTATCAATGGGGCCCTGGAGCCCTTTTTTCCGCGGTGCTAATTTACGGGCGCACTATGCCCAAAACAGTGGTATACTGTTTCAAAACAGTGCTGGATTACCTTCAAAAAATGGAAGTCGAAAAATGATGGTAATTCCCAGTAGCAGGTCCTTTGTTCCGAGTGCAGTTCTTGGTTACACAGACCAGCTCTTTTGTCCGAAACCGGGCGCGCCGGCTTTGTGTATAAACACACATTGCCCGAAACTGGGCTCCCCGGCAGGAAGTGGTTAAGCAATAACCTTGTAGACCGTGGGCCAAACAGACAAAGCCTGTACATTTTTTACACGATCGGGCTCAACTCCTACGACTAACTAATTGTCACATAACAAGGTGTTAAAAAATCGGAACTACAAATTGGGGGATGTTCATATGGAATTTTCCTGCATGTTAATGTTTAGCAACAAGAAATAACAACCAAAAAATCTTTTAAAAATGTTGAACATGGCTCAGGTCATTGTAGTCTGGTCTCCATCCCGATTGTTTATTATTGTATAGTAAGGTGGAAAGCTTACGGTAGCACCATTCAAGGATACGATCTCTTTGTGTTCAGAACCATACAGACTCACAAAGAGATTGTATCCTTGCATGGTGCTACCGCAAGCTTTCCACCTTAGTTGTCTGTCACCATGAATAGCTTGAAATTCTGTTATATAGTACTTGACGTTTGGGGATCAGGCGTGACCATGAAATTCAGCATGGCATCATCAAACGAGAGCCACTACGACAAAAGTAAAAAATTTTGGTGTGTGATATTCATGTCCTTAACTCAGTTACTGGCAAGTAGGCCTGTG